GGAATTTGCGAAATTATCGTTTTTTTTCAAATTGAGAAAACAGCATTTTCAATTTTTTCCAAAAATATCAGGTTGTGATTATCACACCACAAAAAGATCTCCACCAGATTAAAGGTCTTTGAAATCCCTACGAACCTGCTATACAATGTTTTGCAATCAAATTATCAGTTTAAGAGTTATCTGCCAATTTATTAGTGAAATCGGACTCAATTTTAAGTCGCATCGTTATTCTACTGTGAATTACACCTAAAACTGCAAACTTTTTGTTCTTATTTTTATGCTATGTTAAAGCTTATTTGATTTCAAAGTATATAGATCCAAATTTTTTGCAAATCGATTTGAAAATAGAAAAGTTATAGCAAATTTAGATCATTGGATCAGCAGTATCACAGAATTTGATTGTAAAATAAATTAAAATATCATTTCCAGTGGCATGTTATGCACATCGCAATTAGAAAAACAGCTGACAATAGGTTTGTTTCATTAAGCAATAGTTTTAAATATTTTTTAACAATTGTTACAAATTATCATGTTTTGGCTAGCAAAAAAGTTGATACAAATAAGATAAATTGAGATAGCAAAATAACATTTGATTTTTAGATACGGTTTGGAAGTATCTGCGGGATACATTTATACTTGTAAAACTGAAACAATGGTACTTATTAAATGTATTATGTATTTATATTGTGATCCTTATTTTCAAGTAATACTACGCTCAAAAGAATGTCTAATAACCGCTTGTTTATTAAGCAATAGTCTGTAATAGTTTGGAACAATTGTTACGAATTATCACGGCTTGGCGGTTTAATACGAAAAAACTGCAAAAAAATTTATAAAAAAGGGATAAATTTAGAGAGAAAAATAACATAAAGTTTCTACAGGATAAAGAATACAATTTTCCAGGAAGAAATATACATATATATCTGTGGACATTTTAAAGAACAACTTAAGCCTATAGTTTACGGACAAACAAAATAGCAAATGTCGAATGTTTTCTTTTAAATAAAATATACTATGCTGCAGTGGGAAGACAAAGCATTTTTGTACGTACGAGCTTCAGAAAGTCCAGATTCGCGGGGATTACAAGGAGCTGCTTCAGCTAGCATTTGCTTTTCTAGGTGGTACTAGTGGTGATTTTCGAACATGCGGTCCAACATCCCATGCGCGGTTTATGTCGAAAGCTATTTATTGCCTGAAGATATTTCTTTTTCGAGAACAGTTCAAACTGACGCCAAGAGAATTTAATAGTTTACGAGATATTTGCATTTTCCTCATTCGCCTTTATATGAAAGCTTGG